GCACTTCCCCATGCTGGATGCGGCTGGAGGGGCCCTCAGCCACAAAGCAGCAGGTTCCCTGGCCTCTAGGAGCTGCCTTCACTTTCCAATGGCTAGAATTGAGTTGCAGGATGAGCTGGGCCTGAGAAGGGAGAAAACTGTGCAATAGATTTGTTAGATTTAGCCGGCATGTATCAAGAAGAATCAAGGAAGGACCTCAGGGGTTAGATAAGAGCGTTCTTGATCAAGGGACAAGAACATAGGACTGAATAAGCAAGAATGCATTGTTTTGGGAGTACTTTCTTGGGACATGGGGATTTAACAGCCTGTCAAGAACCCCAGGAGGTGGGGGCAAGCTTGCTGCCAGGGTAGCTATGGTAGGCAGCCTCCAAGATGGCCCCCAATGTTGCCTGCCTCCTAATATCCATGCCTTCGTTTAATCTCTTCCCACTGAGTGTAGGCTGGACTTACGGACTCACTTTTTTTTTTTTTTTTTTTTTTTGAGACAGAGTCTCGCTTGTTGCCCAGGCTATAGTGAGTGCCGTGGCGTCAGCCTAGCTCACAGCAACCTCAAACTCCTGGGCTCAAGTAATCCTTCTGCCTCAGCCTCCCGAGTAGCTGGGACTACAGGCATGTGCTACCATGCCCAGCTAATTTATATATATATATATATATATCAGTTGGCCAATTAATTTCTTTCTATTTATAGTAGAGACGGGGTCTTGCTCTTGCTCAGGCTGGTTTCGAACTCCTGACCTTGAGCAATCTGCCTGCCTCGGCCTCCCAGAGTGCTAGGATTACAGGCGTGAGCCACCGCGCCCAGCCTGGACTCACTTTTAATAACTAGAAAACTGCAGAAGTGATGGGATGTCACTTCCCTGATTAGATTGGTTTAAGTCTTAGGCGTGCTCTTTCTCCCTCTCAGCCCAGTCTCCAGGTAATGAAGTCCAGGCTGTCTTGCTGGAGAAGCCACGTGGAGAAGAGAGGTCCTGGAGGCTGAGAGACCACGTGGAGGAGAGCCACGGCATCCCAGCGGACAGCCAGCACCAACTACTGGCCGCACTAGTGAGCCTCCCTGGAAGTGGACCCTCCAGCCCCAGTCAAGCGTTGGCTGACACCTTGACTGCAACCTCATGAGCTAGAGCCACCCCACTAAACCACTCCCAACCTGACCTGCGGAAACTGATAATGTATGTTTGTTGTTTTAAGCCATTAGATTCTAGGGAATTTATTCCTTAGCACTTGACAACAACAACAACAACAACAACAACAACAAATCTCTCTTAGAAGCCCAGAGATAGTGCTGGTCCATGCTGAACAAAGTGGAAATAGCTGATTGGCCCTGGAAAATAGTAGAGGAAGAAATAAATCAGTTGAAGGAATTGAGAATGCCGAAATGGATACATCATCTGAGGTCAGAGGATCATGTTCCATGAGAAGGTCTAGAAGACACACAATTAGCCATGGAGGGTCCCAGCACCACTGAGAAGCTCAGTGCTGGCTCTCCTCTGCAGGCCAGAGAGGCAGTCACAGGGCTGGGCTTGTTAATATCCATGGGGGTGACGCCCCATTCTCACATCACAGAGAACAGTTACATTAACCATCATAAGCCAGCTTTGGCGGCTTTTACCATAATGACTGGCAAGTTTGAAGGGGCAGCTAAGAGAACTTGACCTTCAGGGAGTTGTGGAGATGGTTGAAAAACCATGGTACTCCTAGGAGCAAAATAGATGGGCAGCCCACAAGGTGATGCTTAACATCTATGACTGCCCTCTCCCAAAATGGCATAAGTGAAGGAGCGGAGACTAAGGGCAATTGTCCCAGTAGGAAGTCAAGGTCCCTTGCTCAGGTCCTGGTCAGGGTCCCTTGCTCATGTCCCGGACCAGAGTCACTTCTCAGATCCAGAACCTGTTGACCAAAGAGGTAGACTGGTCCTTAAGGGAAAGGACCTGGAAACGCTATGGCAACTGTATACTAGAATACCCACTCAGGTTATTGTACACTAAGAGAGGGGGAATACCCAGGTGTTTAAAGCACTATTGGATAGATATGGGGTGACACTGATGCCCAGAGACCCAAAGCATGATTACAGTGCCCCTGTTAAAGTGGGGGCTGGTAAGGATCAGGCTATGAATGGAATCGTGGCTAAAGTCTTATCCGTGGATGATCCACTGGATCTGTAAAACTACCCAGTGACCATTTCCCCAGTCCCTGAGTGTAAGATTGGGATCAAAAAACTGAGTAGTTGGTGTAGCCCCCACACTGGATTAAAATAACATCTATCTGCTGATGACTCTCAAATTTATATGTCAGGTCATCAAAATTAAAAACTCTTGTGCTTCAAAAGACATCATTAACAGAGGGAAAAGACAATCCACTCGATAGGACACAATATTTGTAACTCGTATATAAGATAGGGACTTATATACAGAGTATATAAAGAACTCTTACAACTCAACAAGAAAAAGACAAATAACCCAACTAAAAAATAGGTAAAGAATCTGAATATTTGCCCCAAGTAGATATGCAAGTGGCCAATAAGCACATGAAAAATGTTCAACATCATTTGTCATCAGGGAAATGCAAATAAAAATCACTGTGAGATACCACTTCATGTCCACTAGGATGGCTATAATAAAAAAAGACAGACGACAAGGGTTGTTGAATACCTGGAAAAATTGGAACCTTCAGACATCACCAGTGAGAATGTAAAATAGTACAGCTGTCTTAGAAAATAGTTTGGCAGTTCCTGAAAATGTTCCTATGACTCAGCATTCCACTCCTAAGTATGCCCAGGAGAATTGAAAACATACATTCACATGAAAACTTGTACATCAATGTTCACAGCATTATTTATAATAGCCCAAGTGGAAACAACCCAAATGTCCACCGACTGATGAATAAACAAAATATGGCACAGCCATACCATGGAATATTATTCAGCCATAAAACGGAGTGAAGTACTGATACTTATGGGCATTACCTTGAAAATATTATGCTCAGTGAAAGAAACCAGAAACAAAAACCAACATATTGTATAATTCCATTTTTCATGAAATGCCTATTGTAGACAAATTTACAGGAAGAGAGTAAAGTAGATTAATAGTTATCAGAGGCTTGAGGACAGAGAGGACTGGGGAGAGACTAACAGGTATGGGATTCCTTTTTGGGGTGATGAACATGTTCTGAAATTAGAAAGTGGTGATTGTTGCACCATGTTGTGAATATACTGAAACCTACCAAATCGTACACACTTTAGAAGGGTAAATTAATTTACTCCAGACTGGTATATTCTACTGGCTACTTTCCACTTAGATGCCTAATGGGCATCTCAAACTTCGTATGCCCCAAACTAAACTCCTTGGTCTCAGCATACCCCCACGTGGGTTCCTCCCATGGTTCTTCCCATCCTGATAAGCGTCAACTCCATGCTTCCAGTCGGCCAGGCCAAAAAATATTTAGAGCCATCCTTGACCCCCCTCTTTCTTCACATCCTATATCTACTCCGTCAGCGAATCCGATCTTACCTATAAGATATTTGCAGAATCCGACCACTGCTCACACTTTCACATCATCACTCTGGTCCCTCCAAGCCACCATCACCTCCGGCCTGGATTATGACTTTCCCCTCCTGACTGGTCCCTCTGCTTCTACCCCTGCCCTGTTATGGGGCGAACTGCATTCCCTCAAATTCGTGTGTCGAAGCTTCAGTCCCCTGCCAATATCTTGATCTCGCTTGGACTTTCTGGCCTCCAGAACGGTGAGAAAATAACGTCCTGCTGTTGAAGCCGCCCAGGCTGAGGTCTTTTATTGTGGCAGCCTAACTAACACCCCCCCACTACAGTCTACATCCCACACAGCAGCCGGGTGATCTCTTGAAATCATAGACAGCCATGGCCTGTAAGGTCCCATGCTCCTCTGACCTCAGCTCCTCCCAGGGCTGCCATGGCGCCAGCTCCCAGGGACGCCACGAACCCCCCACACCTCCCCACCTGTCCTCTTCCCTGTGCCCAAGCTGTGCTGACCTTTAAGAAGCTCCTCAGGCACCGATCCCTCATGCTCTGTGGCCTTTGCACACACTGTCCTCCTTGCATGACACCCTCCCCTCCCACACACCGGTGGCCCTTCCTCACTCTGCAGGCTGCAGCTCAAACGTCACTCCTAGGACTTCCCTAATGGCTTTGTCTAAGACGGCCACACCTCTCCCCTGCTCACTTTCTACCTCCAGAGAGGGCTGTTTCACTTTTCATTTATCACCAATCACCTGACATAGGAGCATCACAGATGTCATCGTTTGCTGGTATGTCGTTTACTTCCCCCGACTGTAAAGTCAGCTCCATGAAGACGGGGACTTAATTTTGTCCATGGCTCCACCCTCATCTAGGACAGCGCCTGACATATAGCAGAAGCTCAATAAACGACAGGTTTTTTTTTTTATTTTTTAATAAAGGAAAGGGTAAAGGAATTGAGGCTATTTGGTTAACCTTTAAGGCTGATCACGTCTTTCCTTGCTAAAAAGTTCAGAGCCAAATCTGTGTGCTGTCTTTAGCGAGTGTCTCCAGGGATTCATCTATGAAACTCCACCTGGTTTAGCTGGTTCTCCTTCCTTTATTTTCCCTTTGCTTCTATTCCTCTTACTGAAATGCACCATATGCATTTTTAAGCTGTCTTAATGTTTGAAATGATGCGGATTATGATAAAATAAACTCAAAAAGCAAATTTTTTAAATGTCTCCAGTTTCTGGCCTTTTGGGACGGCCGTTTGATCTCTGGCTGCCGTGAGGGTGGAGAAAGACACTTTATGCGTTCCCAGCCCATAGTGCCGAGGGGACACAGGTTTCCCGGGGAAATTCTTTCTGAAGATCTAGAAATTCTCCTGGGGAACATCAGCTGCAGAGGAAGAAGAAAAGCTACCCTTCTCAAAGACCTCATGGTCGAAGAAGATGGAAAAACAGTGCTTTGGGAGAGGAAAGTGCATCGTCTTAGCCTAGAAGGTACTGGGCCAAAGTTGAAAGGACAGCTTTAAAACTCGCCTGCCCTAAAGGGCACAGGGGCGGTTTCTGGGTTAACTGCCGGGGTGCAGCGAAGACAGGAACAGAGTGTCCATTGTCCGGCTGGCTGCCTTCCTGGAGAAGGCCTCTGCGCGGCTCTCTGCAGGGAGGGACGGCTCCCCGGGCTGGCAGCGACGCCCGCCTGGACACCCTGCACAGATCCGGCAGACTGGGCGGCTCTGCTGTCTCGGAGGCCAGACCCTGAGGCCACGGCCAAGGTGCCTGACCTTTGGGGTCCAAATTTCCCATCTCTCTGCTCACACAGGCTCTGCCCCAAGACTGCCAGGAAGTGCACAAAAGCCCAGCAAACCTAGAAGCAGCAGCAGAAGCTTCTAGGAGGAGGTTGCTAACTGCAACCAGCCCCTTCGCCGAAGCACCATGCAGGGGGCTTTTCACACACCCCATCCGAGTCCCGGGGCGGGGCCACAGCCCAGGTGAGGAGCCCTGGTGTTTTTCCATCACAGGTTCTTGGCCTCAGCCTCTACTTGGCCTCAGATGACATCACTTTCCTGCTTTCTTTGCTTCTTTGTGTTATGTTGGCCAACACTTTCCTCGGCGGCTGAGGGAAGTCTAGCTGACTCAGGGAAAAAAAAAATCTAGGGTCTACATGACAGAAATTCAGGTCTCATTGTTCCAGAGCGGTGGTCCTGTATCATGGTATGTTGGAACCATGCATGTGGCAGTCCTCAAACTTGAATGTGTTCAACAGTTGCAGAGGGACCTGTGGGCTAAAGTCACCTGTTAAAAACAAAACCGTCCACACCCTAGAGCTGTCTATGCAGCGGGGCTGGGGTGGGGCTGAGGAACCTGAATTTCTAACAAAATGTCCCCGGGTAACTGGGGCCAGGGCTCTGCAGACCACCCTGTGAGAAACGTGTCTCACAGTTAGCAGAGCTGGTGCCTGGGTGTGGCCACACACCTGCTGATTCACAAGTGGCAGCCCTGCCACCGTGTCATAGCACACAGGGGCATCCAGCACACAGCTGAGCTGGGGACCCGCTGCTGCAGAGGTGACTTCATTCCGAAAGAATGAGCCAGACCTACGTGTCTGGGGTCCCCTTCTCCAAGGGCTCTCATCACTGTCTGAAAACCTAGGCACACGGTTGCTGGCACAGAAACCTGGAAGGAAAGCTGGCATGTGCCCCAGCAGCGGAGATGCTCGCACAGAAAGGCCTGCAGACATGGAAAGCGTGGCTGTATTAATTTTACAGAGCTTTTCTCGCTTTTCCTGGGTGTGGTAGGAATCCCCAGGGTAAAAGTGGCCACCTGGAGCTGCCCCCCCTGGCTGGGAGGTTGTCCTGCCCCGCGTTATTTGGGAGCAGGCCAGGCAGCGGCAGCTGTGCCTGCCACTCACACAGGACTCCTGAGCGGCTACGTGTCACCACCAGATGGGCCCCTCCGAGCCAGGTGCCAGGTTGCTGCAGCTGCCCAGGAGTTTTCGCTGGCGGGGCTGTCCGCACCTGGCCGGCATGATGCAACCCGCAGGGGACTCAGCACTGGGTGACGGCTGACTCAGCCGCAGCGTCCGTCCGTGGTCGGCCTGGCCTGCGGGGCAGGCTATTTCTTGGGGCGACCAGAAGCCTGCACCTCGAGTTTACGGCAAAGCTGGGGTCTCATTCAAACGAGCATAATCCTGATTTCCCAGTCCTCAAAAGCCAAGTGGAAATTGTGGGCCAGGCGTAAGCTTAGCCACCGACCTGGCCTCCCACCTCCACTGGGCACCCCTGCGGTTGCTGAAGCCATTGCTCCCTTTCATTCTTTCAGCAAACAGGCACCAAGGGCCAGAAATGACACGGACAACTAGCACGGTCTGACTGATGGCTCCGGGTCAGGCACTGTGCTAGACTTGCCATCCGCATCTTCTCATTCAATGTTCAGCAACGTGTGTAAGTGACAGAGTCTGTTTTACAGATGGGGACACCGGGGATCCAAGAGGCAAAGCCGCCTGCATGGCGTCCCACCACCGAGGACAGGCGGGCTGTGTGCCAGGCTGAGCCGAGGCCGGGCCCTTTCCCTCCCACCCATCGCTCCACCAACAGCAGACCGCGCTGTCTCTGTAGCGCCTTCCCCTCGGCCTGCCAACGCGGGCAAGCGCCACGCCCTCACGCTCCAGCGCCCTCTGGCACCGTCCCCTTTTCCTCCTATTACCCATCGCAGGTGGGCTCAGCCCTACCGTCCCCGGCTCCTTCTTCCTGCCTTGTCACCAGCCTCCCGACCTCCCCCGCACCCCCTGACTCTCCCGATGCTGGCCTCCTGCACCGGGGTTCCCCAGAGCTCCTCCAGACGCAGCCCCCGAGCTTCCCCCAGGAAGTCCCTCACTGGGGACACCCCTGTGTGGTCTCGGCGCACACTGAAGACGCCCTCAACATGACAGCCCATCGCAGGCTGAAAGCTTTGGTTTCTCACTGTCAACATTCTCCACTAAAATGGAGTTCCGTGAAGTTGGACGACTGGCACCTGCACAGCGCACGGCGGGTCCTCGGTATGTGTTTGTCACACTGCCCAGAACAGGCGCACACGCCTGGTGCACCCAAGGCGCAGGCAACAGAGAAAGCGAACCTAATATTTTAACACAGGAGGACAAATACATCCCGGTGAAAGTCACTCATACTTGGACGAGGGGAAAGCAACTGGTACGTGGCACCGAAGTGTGCAGGGACGAACATGCCACCAGGTCGCCAGCCCCACCCTGGGGTCTGAGCACCCGGACGTGGTCTTGGCTCCCACACCGACTGCCTGGGTGACCTGGAGCCCGTTGTTTCATCCTTCTGCACCCAGTTCTCCCATCTGTAGAATGGGTGTGTGAGGGTTAGATGGGATAATCCACGTGCAATATTCAAAACAGCACATTGTCAATGCGTGGTGAAGGTTCTCGTATGTTGTGTTCACACACACAAAAAAATGGATTTAATAGAAAAGGGGGAGGGAGAAAAACTAAGTAGTCATAATATTTTTAAGGTACAGTGTGAACCCCCAGGTCGGATTAAAAAACGAGGGTAAGAAGTGATCGACCATAGAGGCCCACAGATTTTTAAAATTTTTAGATTAGCTGTCGTATTTAAAACGAAGAGATGTTATGTTACAACAAAGAAATCCAGAGTTCTGACTTCTGCGGAAAACCCGGATGACTTGGCAGCCTTGGGCGTCCGTGTGCCCCTGGCGGTCACTGTCTGGACGTGTGTGGTCACTGCCCACGTCAGAGGGGACACGTGCTCCCCAGGGTGCCTCAGCCCCCCAAGCGCTCCTGCTTCTCACCTGGCCTGCTCCCAGCCGCAGGTCTTTGAGTCGGTGACCTTGGCCGCAGATGCAGCTTTCTCCATTGCAATAACATTTGCTCTTAGGCACAGGTACCCTCTGCTCAAGATCCTATCACATCTCCCCAGTGCCTCCATCGTCCAACTCAGACTTTAAACTTGAACTGCTCCCACCCCCATGTGGGGACCCGCCCACTCCTCACTGCCCAGGACTTCCCGCCCAGCCCTGAGCCCCAGCAGGCCCGCTGCCCACTGCCCCTCCTGCCCCTCCTGCCCCAGCTCCCCCTGCCCCCTCCCTCCCGAGTGCCCCTCGCCCATGAGCACCTCGTGTCCAGTTGCCCTCGTGACCAAGCGAGCCCCGCGCTCTCTAGCCCAGGGGCTGGTCTCCCTTCTCCGGGCCTGCACTGCACTTGGGACAGGGGCAGGGACCCCTGCACTTGGGACAGGGACAGGGGCGACCATGATTAAAGTGCGGCTGGTGCTCGTGGTCTCCACCCTGTCTTATCCAGTTCGTTTCTCTCCTTGTCCCCTGCCCTCTGGGGTCCCTGTCCTGGCCAGGCCTAGTCTTGGACTTTTATGATTTGAAACAACATCAGAATGAGGACGGGGGACAGGTGGGAATAGGACATGTGGGAGGTAAGAGGAGAGGGCGAGAAAACCAGGGCAAACCTGGGGGGGGGGCGAAGGAGCGTGCAGGGCAAGGGGCCTGCACAGAGGCTGGCGGGCAGGGGCTTCCCGGGTGTAGCCTGGCCCCCAGGATCCCTCTGCCTACGCCATCTGCGCCCCATTTTCTCTGCGGCAACCCTGCCTTCCGCGGTGGGCTGCAGGCCCCAGGAGGGCCGAGACCGCACGTGCGTAGTTCCCTGTGTCCCTCCGAGCTGGCGCAGGGCTGGGCCCAGGGACCGCGCAGGCGCATGCGCAGCGGCTGACCTCAGTGTCCCCAGCGTTTCCCAGGCGAATGACCCGAGCACGACGTGGAGCATCGGGAACGTGGGCTGCTCAGTTTCACCTGCTGGCAGAAGTGTGAGGAGATCAGATTCCAGCTCGGTGGTGTGTCCCGGTGAACAGCGGGGAATTCGCCCTAGACTGGAGAGCCGGGGTTCCTGCGCTGGAGCCCGCACCGTGGCACCTGGGAGGGGAGGGGGCTGCTAAACTGCAGACCGCTGCCCCGCCCCCGGCCCCCCAGCTGCAGCAGGTTTGCGGAGGGCCCGGAACTCGCTTCTCTAAACAACTCCCAGGTGACACTCACGCCGCTGGTTGGGAGCCACACCTTGAGAAACCGGCTCTAGCGTTCAGGGCTGAGGTTCAACCCCAAAGCCGCATCACTCCACCGAGGTGCAGAGGTGACAGTCCCCTCCCAGCTCCCTGCACTGTCTAGCTTGTCATTTACCTCCCACCTGCAGAGGCTTCGCTTGGGCCCTGGGCGCCCATGGCTGAGTGGAGGGCGCCCCCTGGTGGCCCAAATGGACAATTACCCGAACCGCAGCACCCTTGCTCTTGCTCTCAAGGTTTGCCAAACTTCTCATTTCACCTGCTGGACGAAAGACCCAGGGAACCTTGGGACGGCCATCATTCACCAGATATGGTCTCCGTGTAGAGGAGGAGCCAGGGGTCCACTCAGTGTGCGATGGGTCAACTGCTTGGTCCAAAGGTGACCAAGGATGGCAGAAATGAGTTGTTCTCACGGTTTGGAGATGTCATAGAGTGAGAAGGTGTCTTGGAAGAATAGTCCAAACCAGATAGCCACTCAATGCTCTCTTGGAGAATGTGCCTTTGTAACTTAAGTCCGAAGCAAACAGTGACAAAGCCCTTGAAACACATTGCGATTAAGGAGAGACCATAAAATGACTTTGAGCCATGTTTGTTTTTTTCTGCTATTAGAAAGCTGGGGTCACAAACTGCCGCCTATTGCAAAAATTCTTCGCTGCCATTGTCACCGCTTGATTTGGCGCAAGCAGGGAACTTCTCGGTTTTTAGCAGCTGTGATGCTACCATTACAGGATTCGCTGCCACCAACCGCCCCGGCCTGGAAGGGGCAGGAGTTGGCAACTAGGAAACAGGGTCAGTTCAGCTAAGTGGCACGTCTCAGACTTCAGCGCTGGAATCACCGGGAAGGCTTGTGAAACGGAGATCTCTGGCCTCCACCCCCAGAGATTCCAATTCAGCAGGACTAGGGGTGGGGGGCTGAGAGTTTGCTCTTCTGATAACTTCCTATCTCATGCTGATGCTGCTGGGGGTGCCCCTTTGGATAACACCTGTAATTTTCCTTCTTCCACCCATTTATGGATCTTGACTATTAATCAGTCAAAATCTAAGTCAGCAAGAGCCTCTGATTCAGGAAGTCTCAGCCCGGGCACTATGGATATTTTGACTGGTGATTCCCTGTTGTGGGGGAGCCTGGCCTATACCCTGTAGGGTGCTGAACAGCACCCCTGGCCTTCTACCTACTAGATGCCGGTAGTAGCCTCTTCCCACAGGTTTCGGTAATCAAACATGGCCCAGGCGCGGTGGCTCACGCCTGTAATCCTAGCACTCTGGGAGGCTAAGGCGGGAGGATCGTTCAAGGGCAGGAGTTCGAAACCAGCCTGAGCAAGAGCGAGACCCCGTCTCTACTAAAAATGGAAAGAAATTAATTGGCCAACTAAAAATATATAGAAAAAACTAGCCGGGCATGGTGGCGCATGCCTGTAGCCCCAGCTACCTGGGAGGCTGAGGCAGGAGGATCACTTGAACCCAGGAGTTTGAGGTTGCTGTGAGCTAGGCTGACACCACAGCACTCACTCTAGCCTGGGCAACACAGTGAGACTCTGTCTCAAAAAACAAAAAAAAACGTGTCCCAGACATCACCAAATGGCCCTGGGAGGCGAAATTGCCCTCCCTGGAGAACCACCGCTCTGACAGGTGGGTTTTCCACTCCCGTGGTGTAGACAGTGAAGGTGTTCTCGAGTGTTGCCTGACAGGTGACACTGACACGAAGCTCTCAGCTCTTTGGGTTTAAATAACAGAAGAAAATCGCTTACATTTCTTAAGTACCTACTTTGTGCGAGTTATTCCGATAACGCTTTTTAAAATGAAATCACTGTTTTAACAATTGTTGATACATTTTCCATTTTTGTTTCCGTACTTAGGTGCGTGTCTTACCCTTACACCAGATCTTACTGTGCACGAGCCACGGTGCAAACACTCCCGGCCACACATGCCACTGGCTGCCACGCTGGGCAGCGTAAGCCGGTCTGGACTCGGAGCCCGGCTGCGCTGGCCTCTCTATGTGCAACGACACGTGCCGATTTCACTTCACTGTCCTTCAGTGTCTCCCCGCATTCCGGCTGTTTCATCAGACTCACATACCTATTCATGCACTCTGCAATCTGTCCTTGGAACAGTTCTACTGATGTTGCAATGAAGTCTACAGTTTTTTAAAAAAAATTTATCAAGCAGTAGAATACCTCATCTGGTGGCCAGACTGTGTTGACTACTATCATATTTTTGTTCCAATAGCTTTTCCAGAGGCTGTTTTCCAACACAGGCTGTGTGTGCTTGTGCACAACCGAATCTTCCGTCTTGCCCGATGCTGACGCGCACACGCACACGCACACGCACACACTCGTGCTTTTCGGTTTATCTCACAGCATCTAGGGTGTTCCACCCCCTTCGGCAATTCTACCTTTTCATTAGCTCCTATAAGATGTTTCTCTCTGTGGGTTCTTGTGTTACCCTTAGTAAACGTTTCTGATCATTTAGGGAACCAATTATTCTCCAGGAAAATGTTGCAATAAACCCTTTAGTCTCACCACATTTGTTAATTCAAATTTTACAGCCGTGAAAATCAAGACGGACTTAAATATCAAGGTCAACGTGCACCGACAAAACGCAGCGGTGAGAGCCAGCCCCATGGAATGCCTCCACGAGCCACGTGCCGGGCTCAGCGCTTGGTGTGCACTAGCTAATCTTCCTCCTAACAGGCCTGGAGGGAGGCGCTGTGCTGATTGCCATGCTAGAGGCCAGGTAAGGAGGCACCGAGAGCTTACGTGACGGTGACACGCCCCAGTTCACCCGGCTGGGCAGGGCTGGGCGCCATATCAGGGTCTGTTAGATGCTGAAGTTGGTCTCCTAACCTCTGCGCTCCATTGTCAGGCACGATGATTTGCAAATGTCGTTCTTGTTTCTGAGTTTTTAAGAGTGTGTGGTTCCATAGATTATACACCGTCCCCAAGATACCAAAGGACTTCTCTTGATGGGGAAGAAATAAATACGTATTTTCTTGGTAGTCTACAAACCGCCTCTTTCGTAGCCAGGGCGTCTGAGGATGTGCAGGGCTCTTGACGGGGACAGGGGGCTGAGCTCCCATCCGGAGCCCGGCCGCGAGGCCGTATCAGAAGCCTCAGCACTGGTGCTGGGACAGCAGCACCGGGTCTGGGAGCGAGTGGGCGTGGGGGCGTGGACCGGCGAGTGAAGATGATTCCTTCAAGAAGACAGGCCTGGGGGGAGGAGAGAGGGCGGGCAGGTGGGAGGTGAAGGGAGACGGGCTCGGGGAGGGGCTCTGCTTTCGCTTTGTCCTTGTGAACTACTTGAGCAGGTTGCAGTGTTGATGGTGGAAAAGTTAAGAGCTGACGACACAGGAAGGCAGGGGAGGGGGTAGGTGCTGAATCGGTGAGGACTCCCAGGAGTCATCTCGGGAAGCTTCCTGAAGCCCATGTTGGGGGCCGTGTGTACCGGGTCTGACGCCAAATCCTGCCCGTCCTGCATCGCCCTCTGGCCTCCCCCCGGCACTGCCCGAGAAGCGACAGCAATCAGAGGTACCCGGAGCCAAGTGGCTTGGGAGTTGTTCTCAGTCAGGAACATTCTCCCTCCACTGGGCATAACTTCTTACCCTCTCTAGCGAGGAAATGCAAGACACATCATGTCAGAATGTGTGTCCCAGAACAGCCCCACAGGCAGGTGACATGGTTTGATGCAAGGGACATTAAGCGTGCCTCCTCTTAAAATAGCTCCCACCAGCTTGTCTCTGGTCCTGGAACTATTGCATCTGGGTGACCTTCCTAAACGGGTCCTGTTGAAATGCTAACGGGTCAAATCAGTATTGAAAAAAAAAAACACCCATGTTCACTGCAGCATTATTCACAATGGCCAAAAGGTGGAGGCAACCCACGTGTCCGTCAGTGGGTGACTGGACGAGTAAAGTGCGGTAGGGATGCACGACGGAACGTTACTCAGCGCTAAACAGGAAGGAAATCCCACACATGCTACATACAACTCGGGTGGACCTTGAAGACTTTATGCTAAGTGAAATAAACCAGTCACCGAAGGACAGATACCTATATGATTCCACTTATAGGGGGTCCCTAGGGCAAGTCAAATTCATAGCGACAGAAATCAGGATTATGGCTGCCCGGGGCCGGAGGGAGGGGCAGGGGGAGCTGCGTTCAACGGTCCAGAGTCGCAGCTTGGGAGGGTGAACAGAGCTTTGCAGGTGAAAGGTGGTGACGGCTGCACAACAGCGTGAAGGTACTTCCTGCCGAAGAACTGTACATCTAAACATGGTCGAGACGGCAGGTTTTATGTTATGTGTGTTTTGCTGCAATTAAACAAACGAAACACCAGGTCACTTACGGGGTCCCTTGATCGCTTGTCTCCCACTGTTGCTGGTCTGGCCCGGCTTCGCTTTCCAGTGGGGGCCGCCGGCCGGCGAGAGCAGGGCGTTGAGGCGCCACCGGGATGGGGAAGAGCCGGAGGTGGAGAGAGGACAGTCAGGAGAGGAGGGGTCCACTGGGTTCTGGGAGGTGCTCTGGGAAAGGCCGGATCTTGGGTTCCTGGCTCCAGGCGACACCTGCAGGGTCCTTGGGTGGCCGGAGGAGGCCGTGAAAACCCGGGCGCCCTGGGCAGCTGCCTGAGAGGTGAGGAAGTCTCCGTCTACTCCGCCTCTCCCCGAGGCCGCGGGGAGCGGGGACACGCGAGGCGGCTGCTGTGAGGCCCCAGTGAGTCAGCGAGGCCACCACCCACTCGGGAAACCTCCTCCCAGGTCTCCCCTCTCACAGGCTGGTGTGGGGGTCCCCCCATACCGGCCCTCGGTGTGGAGAGTGGGTGTGAGGACGGCGCAGCCGCCACCTGCCACCGCGGCCCCTCGGCCCCTTGCCCCCCTCCAGTCGGCTGGCGCTTCCTCCCCCATCAGGCCGGGGACAGAAGGCCACTTTGGTGGCAGAAAGCGTCGTTCTAAACTCCTCCCATTAACCAGAGAGACAGAATTGTCCCGCTAGTTTGGGAAAACACTGGCGATGGGACACGTTACATTTCCTTCATGTCTGGCTCGAGTCCTGAGCGGAACAGATGCTGTGTTTATCAGATACTTTCTCCGCTGGGGCATGCCTTGCCAGCTTTCCAGTATCAGACAAACCAGGAGAAGTCTGAGTTTGATGTCGCTCCTTTCTGCCTCTCCCTCCCAATTCTGCAGGACGGCGGGGGTCTGGGCGGAGACCCCGGCCCGTCCCCGTCCGTGGAGGGTAAGTGACTGGGAAACGGCAGGCATCTGAAAACTCACCTTGCCGCCAGACACCCCCAAAATGTCCTTCGAAATGACATCGAGTCCAGGCTTCCCCCCATCCCGGCTGGCACAGCTGATGGGACAAGAAAAATTTACCTGTTTTGGAGTATTTATGGCGTCGTTCCCCCAGGACCCCACTTCCCGTGGAGGAGGGTTCGGTCTCGGCCGGCTGAGTCCTGGAGTATTTCTGGTGCAGATACGGGAAATGCGGGCGAGGAGGCAGAGCTGTGCGGTCCCACGGGCCTGGGCCGGCTTGGGGGCTCCACCTAAGCAAAGGCAGGGAGTTACCTGCCGAGGAAAGCAGGGCAGATCAGAAGGTGAGAGGGAGGGTGAGAGAAACAAGAGCGAGGGATGGGCTGAGTTTGGGGGGAATTCAACAGATGAATTAAGGAGGGGTTGGCGTAGCTGTCAGGAAGACGATTTGGAGGAGAGATGAGAGGAGTTTTCGGAAGTGTATCTGGTGTAATGAATGGAACTCACCCCCGCTCTTTGACATTTTTAAGAGATTTCAGTAAAGACACACACTGGTGTTAAAACTGTGTTCTGTATGAGGGGCTGGTGGTAGTTCAAGGCAGCCTGGACTAGTGGGAGGCTAGAGTTCAATGGCAAAAAGAGCCCCCCCTTACCCCCACTTCTCCCAGCAACACAGACTATAGTCCAGATATTTTAAACCGGTGTCCTGTGGGCCGGGTATGGACCCCAGATGTATTTTGTTCGGCTAGTTGAGAGTTAATTTCTTTTTTTTTTTTTTCTGAACTGACATTGAAAATTGGGATTTCACATTTTAAAAGCCTGCATTTCCTTTCCCACTTCTCTTGGAAAAATCTGGCAGTACGAGGCCTTTATTCCTGCAAGGCTCATGCTTCCTAGTGAACTCCGTGCCCACCGCTCACATGGGCGTGCACACGCACGGACCCCGGCCCGCCCCCTGCGTTGGCAGGCATCCCTCAGAGAGCTTGCAGGATCGGTTCCAGAGCACGGCAATGAAGCAAACATCACAAGAAAGCAAGTCACACAAGTTTTTGGTTTCCCTGTGCACATAAAAGTTATGTTTATAATATTCTGTAGTCTATTAAGTGTGCAATAGCATTATGTCTAAAAATGTGTGTATACCTTAATTTTAAAATACTTCTAAAAAATGCTAATATTCATGTGAGCCATCAGTGAGTAGTAATCTTTGGTGGTGGAGGGTCTTGCCTCGATGCTGATGGCCGCTGGCTGATCAGGGTGGCGGCTGCTGAAGGCTGGGGTGGCGTGGCAATCTCTTAAAATAAGACGAGAATGGAGTGTGCCACATCAATTGCCTCTTGCTTTCACAAAATATTTCTCTGTAGCATGTGGTGCTGTTTGATAGCATTTTACCCACAGAACTTCTTCCAAAATCTCAAACCTGGGGCCGAGCGCGATGGCTCACGCCTGTAATCCTAGCACTCTGGGAGGCCGAGGTGGGTGGATTGCTCAAGGTCAGGAGTTCGAAACCAGCCTGAGCAAGAGTGAGACCCCGTCTCTACTATAAATAGAAATAAATTAATTGGCCAACTGATATATATATAGAAAAAATGAGCCGGGCATGGTGGCGCGTGCCTGTAGTCCCAGCTACTCGGGAGGCTGAGGCAGAAGGATTGCTTGAGCCCAGAAGTTTGAGGTTGCTGTGAGCTAGGCTGACGCCATGGCACTCACTCTAGCCTGGGCAACAGAGTGAGACTCGGTCTCAAAAAAAATTATATATATATATACATAATATATATATATATATATATATATATATATATATATATATATATATATAATCTCAAACCCTGCCACTGATTTATCAACTGAGTCTATGTAATACCCTAAATCCTTTGTTGTCATCTCAACAACGTTCACAGCATCTTCACCAGGAGTAGATTTCATCTCAAGAAACCACTTTCTTTGCTCATCTGTAAGAAGCAACTCCTCATCCATTCAGGTTTTCTCATGAGATCACAGCAATTCAGCCCCGTCTTCAGGCTCCACTTCTAATCCCACTTCTCTTGCTATTTCCACCCCATCTGCAGTGACTTCCTCCGCTGGAGTCTTGAACCCCTTGAAGGCATCCAGGAGGCTTGGAATCAACTTTTTCTCCAACTCCTGTGAATGTTGATATTTTTCCCTCCTCCTAGGAATCACGAATGTTCTGAATGGCATCTAGAATGAGGAATCCTTTCCAGAAGTTTTTCAATTTGCTTTGCCCAGATCCATCAGAGGAATCGCTTTCAACGGCAGTGATGGCCTTACTGAAATACAGTTCTTAAATAATAAGACTTGGAAGTTGCAATTACTCCTTGATCCATGGGCTGCAGATGGATGTTGTGTTAACAGGCATCAAAACAACATTAATCTCCTTGTATGTCTCCATCAGAGCTCTTGGGTGACCAGGTGCACTGTCAATAAGCAGTAATACTTTGAAACAAATCTTATTTTCTAAGCAGAAGGTCTCAACAGTGGGTTTTAAATACTCAGTAAAGCATGCTGTTAACAGATGTGCTGTCATCCAGGTTTTGTTATTTCATTTATAGAGCACAAGCAGAATAGATTTAACATAATTCTAGGGCCCTAGGATTTTCAGAATGGCAAATGAGCAGCACTGGCTTCAGCTGAAAGTCCCTAACAAGAGAGTCAGCCTGTCCTTTGAGGCTTTGAAGCCAGGCACTGACTTCTTCTCTCTAGCTATGGAAGTCCTACAGGAAATCCTCTAATATAAGGCTGTTTTGTCTCCATTGAAAATCTGTTGTTTAGTACAGCCACCTTCATCGATGATCTTAGCTAGATATTTTAGATAGTTTGCTATAGCTTCTGCTAACACCCCCACAGTGCTACTTCACCTTGCACTTTTATGTTATAGAGGTGGCTTCTTACCTTAAACCTCATGAGCCAACCCCTCTGCTAGCCTCAAACTTTTCTTCTGCACCTTCCTCACTTCTCTCAGCCTTCACAGAATTGAAGAGGGTTAGGACCTTCCTCTGGACTAGGCTTTGGCTTAAGGGAATGTGGAAGCTTGTTTGATCTTCTATCCAGACCGCTCAAACTTTCTCCGAGTCAGTAATAAGGCCATTTTGCTTTCTTATCGTTCATGTGTGCGTTAGAGTAACACTTTTCATTTATTCCAAGAATCTTTCTTTTGCTTTCACAACTTGGCTAACACTTTGGTGCAAGAGGCCTAGCTTTCAGCCATTGTTAAGAATTTGGTGAGAATTTCTCCAGCAACTACCTGCACATGCAAGCACACACATGAACCGATTTTTATTTATAAAAGCGCAAATCGTATCAGCCATGCTCTACCTGTTATTCTGAAAAAATTTTTTTTTCTAGTTAATAATATCTTCATGGTTATTTTCCATGTTATCTCAAAGATAGCCTGCTTCTTTCTTTCTTATTAGCAGGTGAGCATGCCATCATACCATCATACCATAATCATGCAGCCATTCCCTTGTTGATACGTTGGCTATTTCCTCTATGGCAAACAATGCTTTAGTGACCATCCTTGTGAATGATATCCACACATTATAACATCTTCCTTCTGCAGACTACAAGACCAGTTTTGCTACTATTCCACCATTCTAGCAATAACAATTTTAGACTGGGTAACAGAGGAGCACAACTGGGCAGGCTGTTTGAGGTGATGATTTTGGCTAGGGGGGTGCCTGGAATGTCTCCGTTATGCGCAGAATGGTGTCTCCAACATGGTAGGCACTCAGTGTTTGTTGAATAAGGGAATGAATGAACAAATGAATGAATCCACATCTGCTGTAGACACTTGTCGGGCCTGCCCTGCCCTCATATATAACAGGATTTCTCAACATCGGCACTATTGACTTTCTGGGCCAATTGCCTGTTGTGGCGGCGGGGAGGGGTGGGGGGCGGGGAGGGGGTGTCCTGGGCCTTGCAGAATGTTCAGCAGCGTTCTTGGCCTCTACTCGCCAGATGCCACTAGCACAACCCCACTTGCAAACACTAAAACTGTCTCTAGAAATGTTCAAATGTGCTCTGGGGGAAAAATCACTCCTTGTTGACAACCACTGATTTATTATACGGATTGGATTCGTATAAGGGCAAAGGCCCCTTTCTAAAAACAACCAACTCTAAAAAAGGTGGATCCTATTAAATGCTCTTCCCTGATCCTCCCATCTTATGGCGACCTTTTTTCCTGGGTTTTCACAGCCCTTTCATAGAGATTCCCGGATGCTTTACTTTTGGTTTAGGTTCTCTTTCCCCAGGGCCACCTCCCTGGTAATTCCCCCATGAGTTAGGTCAGCCCCCATTATCCATTCTCTAATCACCAAGCACCCCCTCCTTGGTAGTGCTTCTCAAAGCTGAATTCTCACATTTATTTGAGTATCTCTTAAATTAATCTGTTTCCCTCCCTCAACTCCCTAGAGGTAGCCATGACTAAGAATTTGGCATGGAACATGTCAGTTTTTGCCACTGTTTTTATATTAATCTTTAGTGGCCCAAACAAAGCCTGACATGGGAGGGACTCGATGGGTGTTTGAGGGATGGGCAGTTGACAACCTGTCATCAGTCATCAACAGCCAGCCCAAGGTGCAGCGGGCTTCATAGATTTTTTTTTGCTCGTGTGTCCTCTACAACAATTTTAAAAAACAATGTTACCTATGCCCACATTATAAAATGAATATGTTAATTTTCATGATTAAATATATATAGTTTCAAGATTATAACTTCTAGCATATTGTAAATATTGGAATTTAAAGATTAAACTGTGACATTCTTTAAGTGTACCTATGAATCTGTTGTTATTATTTCTAATATGCATTTTGATTTGCTTCCACAGTTCTGTCCCTCAATACCAAGGGATGGAAGAGACAATGTTGTTAAATTTTTTAAAAAGTCTAAATAATTGTTAAAGGAAGATGAATGATTCAGTTCCATGATGTTCCATGCTGGAAAAGAAAACAAGAAGATGATAAAAATAAAATATTAACAAAATAAAAAAAATTTAAAAAAGGAAGATGAATGAAATCATTAAAAGAAGCTGCCAGGTTGAGGACCTAGAGATTTTTACAGTTGGGGCAATGGCACCTTAGTGAGATTTGCGAAGAGTGACAAGTGCGCTTTCATGTCATACAGCAGGGGAACACAGGTGCGTGCTCAGGCAAACCAGTTTTAGGAAATCGTACCTAAAGAAACCGAGAACCCGGAAATTGACTCCCTAAAAATAATCCTGGGAGTGCTCTTTAGAAAGCCTTGAAGACACACATCCTGGGGCAATGCAGGCCAGCCACCTGCAGAGGGCAGTGTTGGACAAG